GCCGTCTTAGAAGGTGGGCAATACCGAGTCATAAACTTGTTGGGCATATCACCCCAGGAAGTGATCAAGAGAGTCTTCCTATTGTTCAGCCACTGAGACGCATTCCCCGCAAGAGAGTAGGGGAATAGCCTCAATTTCAAAGCATCAACGGGGACACCATTGATCTTCTAGCTCCCCGCAAGCTCAATGAACTTTTGAACATGCTCCCTTGGAGACTCATGGCTAAGCCCATGGAATAAGGCATTGTTTTGAAACATGGTGACAAGGGCGGGCTTGATATCAAAATTGTTAGCGGCTACAAGTGGATGTCGAATGGCGGGTTGAATATCCGCCGTCCTTGGACCCATGTAATAGCCCATGGTCCTCGGTTGCTCCTCCGCGACCGCTCCTTGAGTGGGTTGATTAGTCGCCATCTCGGCTATACTTCCTTCCTCTTCGAAATCAATCCCTTCCTCAACTACAACTTCCTCTTCTATCCTCCTTCTTGCCTCCGCTAGTTCCTTCTCACGAGCCAACTGTCGGAGTTTGCGGTTGAGATCTTCGTCTAGTGGCGTCAAAGGTGTTGGATTACTCCGTGTCATACACCTCCCTACACACACTCAAAAGAACCACAACACGCCTAGCACAAGCAAAATTCACACACATACAAAACAAAAATTAAAAGGTAGATTAAAACCAAACAATCTTTTCAAAATAATGAACTGTTAGTTCCCCGACAATGGTGCCCAAAACTTGACTCAACCCGAATGCAAGACTTAGAAACTCTCGATTAAAGCCCAAGTATAAACCATAATCGGGTGCGGTACAGGGCAAATATGTTTAAATATCGACCCGGCTCGGTTCATGTACCCCTACTTTAATTGTTTGTAACATTATCTATCAGTTGGTTTTGGTGAAAACGAAGATCTAAAGCTAAAGTACTTGCAAAGAGAAATGGTTTCGACACTAATTTAGAAGGCTTCACTCGGGTGTTGCTCCCCCTAGCTAGCAATTACGACTTGATGGATCGAATGGCCATGTGTAGTGAGGGGGTTGTAAACCATAGAGAAGTCCAACAAGTAGCGAAAGCTACCCTCTTAGTCGCTAGGTCTAGGAAAGGGGATACGATCCAAGCCACTAATGCGACCCTCTCAACCTATTGACTAAGGATTGGTTAAACTTCACCCTCGAATGGTAGTTTGGACGGCCACCCACAACCAAACCCTAGGTGCTAATACAAAATAAGAGGTTTGCCATGCATTAACCTAATTAGGAGACAATGAATTGCCTAAGAAAACCCAGCATTGAAGCCTCTTTCAAAGAAAGAAAGGGGGTTTTCTCTCTACCTAGGTTAGAATGGAAATTAGATTGATAGGCTTTCAACAACACAATCATTCATGAATAATACCACAATATTCACATTAAATACAATCACAAACAAATCATTCAATTCATACAAGCATTCACATAATTGTAGCTAGGTTTTACAAACACCCAAGTGAAAGGAAGGACTACTCCATGCAAGGAGAAGGGAAAATAGAAGACAGAAGAAGGAAAGCCATCAAAGAGATGCTAGCCTTGCTCCTTTTATTGAAGAGTTCCTCCTTTGGGGGAGGAATTCCCAATTCCTTGATTGAAGATGAAACCCTTGCTTTTCCTCTTCTTTGGTTCGTCACTTTCTCACTCTAGAAATCTGAAGAAGAAGTAGATTCTCACACTAGATCTCCCCCCTTTTCTCCTTTGGCTCAACCTCCTTTATATACCAAGATCGTGCTCAGTTCATGGTCTTAGTTCACGCTCTTGAACTGAAAGCACGGACCGTGAACCAACGATTAAACGCGCCGCATTACTAACCTATGTTCCCGGACGGAGGTCTGAGTTCATGGTCTTACTACCGTGAACTGGATTATGTCCAATGAAACCCTTTTGTTCTCTGGATGTCTGGCAGTTCGCGGGCCGCGCCTCCAATTCACGGTCTTAGTGACCATGAACACACAGCCCAAACCGTGAGTTGCTGCTGTTTCAACCGTTTGACTTGATCTTTCGCCCTTTCGTCCAACTTTTGACTCCGAGGTTGGTTCCCCCTGCCAAAGTCTGGAGCATACCAAAACAAGGCACAACCCGGCGTAAAACCAAACCTCCTCGAGTAAAAATGCTCCATACGAATAAGCAAACTGGGGGTAAAAAGTGTATAAATGAGCCTGAATCAGTGTTGCTATAGTATCCAACTTGGTGAAGTAGGTCGATCCATGAAGCTCTTCGAGCATGTCATCGATGGTCGGAATCGGGAACTTATCCTTCACCAGGGAAGCATTTAGAGCCCGGTAGTCCGTACAAAAGCGCCACGTTCCATCCTTTTTCTTAACCAGCAGAAACAGTGAAGAAAGGGGACTGGTGCTAGGCCGAATCAACCCAGTCTTAAGCATTTTGGCCACCTGACGTTTGATCTCTTCATTATTTGAGTGATCGTACCGATAAGGACAGACATTCATAGCTTCTACCCTGTCCTTCAGTTGGATGCAGTGATCGACCTAGCGTTGGGGAGTAAGAGTCGTGGGTTAATGGAATAGTTCCGGGAACTGGTCGATCACCCTCTGCAAGTCAGGGGAGACCGCCAGTGGATTCGAGGCTGCCATAGGCCAACAGAGGATGACAAAGTTGTCCTCTCCATGCGGCGCACAGTCCCTGATGGAGATTGGTCCCAACGCCATGTTGAGCCCCTACAAACTATGCCAATTACTAGTGACTGGACCCAAACTCCGCAACCACGGAATACCCAAAATCACGTCGCAACCTCGTATAGGAAGCACATACAGATCAGCCATGATCTCCAACCCCTGAATATTGAGAGTGAGTCCATGATAGACCGTCTTGCAATGCATGGGTGCGCCATTTTAGACTTTGACCACTACCGCACCCACAGGAGATACCTCATGTGAAAAAGTTATGGCAAACTCAGCCCCGATAAAGTTGAGGGAGATGCCACTATCCACCAAGGTCAACTCGGGAGAAGACAACCCCGCCACCGAGTGGAGAGAGACCGTCGGGTGTCACCCTGTTGCACCGCTACGTATAGTGGCATCTGCGTCTAGCACCGTTCTAACGCGGCGTCCCGAGATCCGTCGCTGCTCCTCGGCCGCCTCGGTTTACACCCCATCACAAGCCGCAACATCGGTCGCAGTCGTCCGCCCTCGCGCCCACGCCTTGTGCTCGAGCTTGGCAAGGGAGTGTAGTAGCAGCCGCATTAAGCTATCCCTTTCCGAATCGTAGAGTTGTGACAAGCCCATGTGGCCCAGTTGGGTATGATACCAAATGGTAGACACTAGAAGTTTTGCTAGGGAATTTGGGAGTATAGAACTGAAGAAATTAGGGATTGAGAAGGTTTGTAGAAGAACAAGAGAGAATTGAGATTAGGGATTTTGATATTGTTATTGTTTAATTTGAAAATAGTGTTCTGAAACCCCTTTTGTGTGAGTTCCAAATAATAAATAATAGGAAATAATAAATATGCCACTCGTACCTGGCCCATACAGCCTAACCCGCCCTACTCACTCAACCTGCTTGGCAGGTTTTTAACATTATCTATAATCTAGCTTGCATTTTCTTAGAGATCATGCTCCCTCAAAATGAGCTCAAATAAAGACTGTTTAACATTCAATTCAATTTCTTTAGATCGCTTCTCCATCTCATATAATTTCTTCTCCTTCTTGCTCAATTCAGCCAAAAGCATATCAGGTTTCACTACTCTCCCTTGCAATTCCATCTCCCCAACTCTCAACTCATTAAATTGATGCTTAGTGTATTGTATTCAATTTCTCTATATTGTCTCTCTTGCTCAGAGACTTGCTTTTGTCTAGAATTCAGGTCACTGAAACGAACCTACAACTTCACCAATTGCTCCTCGAATCTCTTCTCCTTTAGCCCAAATCAGTGAGAGCATTCCTCAATTTTCTTCCTTACCTTTCACCTCCACTCTTCTCCGTTTCTACTCCAACTCTGCTTCAATTATTCAACTCCCGACCTCTGCCTTCTGCGCATGTGTTTGTTGATCGGAAATCTCCTTCTACATCAATAGGTCAAATGCCGCCTCCCTCGCATCGACTTCTGCCCACTTCATATTCGAGCGCGCATGGAGGATGCCCTCCTCCAATCGTAGAACTAGTTAACATTTGGCTGCAGAGTTGCCACCACGATAGAGATAGAGACAATGGAGAGAAGTGAAGGTATTTTTGTATTAGAGGGGTGTAGTTTCTGGGTCAGTGGGTTGAGTTTGGTTCCATTGTGTTTAGTTGGTTGGTTTATTTTAAATTTTTTTATTTATTTTTGTCGACGTGGTGGGTTGACTATACTCAATTAACAAATTCTTTTATGGAAATAGGCGGAATGACATTTTTGTTATTCGTTCAAATGTATTCTATTGAAACGTGCAAAATTAAACTTTAATAACCATTTCATACTAAATGACAAGTTGTGTGACCGTTTATGATAATTGCCCAACTATCATATAATTTAGGGCTAATACCACTCGATAACCCGAACTATTAAGAATGTGTCATTTGTGTCCTAAAGTATGCAATATGACATTTGTGTCCCAACCTATTATAGTTATGTGTTATTTATGTCCTGTCGATTTTGTTGACCGTTAAAGTTAACGGTTGACCAAATGATGGTCAAAGTGATGTTGACTTTTGTTGATGTGGCAAAAATCAAGCAGCCACGTAGATGCCACATAGATGCCACGTCAAATTATTATAAATTTAAGATTAAATTAAAATAAGAAAAAATTATATTATATAAAAATAAATCAAAACAATAATTAAACCCACCCTCATCATCTAACTCCACCGTCTCACCAAAAACAAAAATCATCTAACTCCACCGCTAAACCCTTCAAATAAAAATCCCACTGTCGCGGCGCAATAAGCACTACCTCTCCGCCGACCCAAATTCACTTCCTCCGCCAAGCCTCAGTCAATCGACGCTCACCTAACCACCACCACAACAATTTTCCATTCTCGCTTAACTCCAATCGTCCTCTATTTTGATGGTCCCCAGATCTGGAATGGCAGAGAAGCGTTGGATCGAGAAGAACGGGACCTCCCGCCCCAAATTCACTCCCTCCGCCAAGCCTCAAACTCCGTCGCCAAGAACATAACCTTCACGCTGACGGTGGTGAACTGATTCAGCCGCGAGCAGCCCAGCTGCTTCTCCTCCCTCCACCAGCTTCTCTGTTCAAAAAGGCGATTCGCGTCATTGACCGGTTGGTCAACACGCACGCTGATTGCGCCGGGCAGTGTAAAGGCAAGATGAAGGCTGGCGACAAGGAGCTGGAGATCCTGAGCTGTCGCACCCTGGCAACGTCGAGATTGCTGGCCACCTCTTCGATTTCGTATTTGCGGCGCTAAACGCGTCGACATCGTCACTTCTATGGGCGGTCTCGCTGTTGGATTCTCTGAGCGAGGGTTGAAGGGAGAGTGAGAAAGAGCGGGGGTTGAGTTGAGCGACTCTTTGGTCTTCGTCGATTGCACACCCCCATGGCAAGAACAGGTTCTCTAGGATTCGCTGACAATGGCGGCAGCGCGATAAAGGGTTGGAGAAGCGGGGTCGACTGAGGAGAGAGGAGACCAGCTGTTTTCTTTTTTTCTTTTAATTTCTGTTAGTTAATTTATTTTTAAAGAAAAATAAATAATAAAATTCCACGTCAGATGCCACATAAGTGCTGACTAGATTTTCTGTAAAAAACTAACGGTCAATGCTAGTCAACTCGATCAGAAAAATAGTTTAGAACACAAATGTCATATCGAATACTTTAGGACACAAATGACACATTTTTAATAGTTCGGATTTCCTAGTGGTATTAGCCCTATAATTTATTATATAATTGTCAAACAACCGAACTAAATATGCATTAATTACGTGATTGATCTATAACTTTATGGAAGGGCGATTTGATTGATTAATAAGGCGATTAAATGATGATAATGACAGGGTGGTCACATTTTCATCAAACATTGCAAGCAAATGAGACGTTTATATATGACAACAAAATCTTTGGACTCACTTTCCCTCTGTCCGTCTCTAACTTACATATGAGTTCTTTGTTGTGATTTTCTTATATGCATCTGTATTATGTTTATCCAATGCTACTGACATCTTCTTGTACGAGATCTACCTGTTCGTCCTATCATACTTCTCGTGTCCTTTCCATCAGCTTCTCCATGTGCTTAATGAAGCTATATCTATTATTTTCATGATAACACATTAATTATTCATACAGTGTTTAAGTGGTAATTGAATTAAAGTATCTTGTTTGATAGAATTATGCAAATATGGTATTTGACATGTGTATTTGACAAAATCAAAGTGATAAAATGAGTTATTTCGAAATAACACGGGGTATGAGTTATTTCAAATAACTCGTTTTGAGTTATTGGTAAATAACTCACTGTTCAAATAACTCATTTAAGTAAAATGCTGCCAAACAAGTTATTTGTATCCAAATAACTCATTCAAATATTTCATCCAAATGAGGAGTTTTAGCAAGAAACTATTGAATTTGGATCTTGGAATTTTTATGGATAATTAAGGGCTTTATGGGATCATTCGGGACTCGAATATGTTGGACAAGGTTTGCATCGTTACACTTTATCGATCTTAAAAAGTTGATGTTATTGATAAATCAACATCAACTGTTTATGGCAGTTGTTCCAGTCCTTTGGAGGATCTAGCGGTCACAGAATTGGGTTGTCTTTGAAGGCAAACAATTTGGGATTCAAGCTTTAATGCTAAAATTTCACCAGCAGTACCAGAAGTGGATTAGTTTGTCAGTAGATCGTGTCCTGCGATCATTCATCCCACAAGTAAGGTCCTTAGGTGGAGGGCACCCACAAGTGAGTTCATCCCACAAGTGAGTTCCACTCGACAGGGGGAATGATTATCACGAACCAAGGAGGGAGGACCCTCTTGGCTAAAAGTGTACAGTTTGCTAATATTGATGACCCTATGGTTGTCAAGCTACTTGTTCTCCGGGAGGCTATTCTCTGGTGTCTAGAGAACGGATTTACGGAGCCGAAATTTGAAGCTGATACCAAAGTGATCATTGATAAAATAAATTAGGCAAATACCGGAGATAATCAGATGGGGTCATCCTCGCGGAGGTCATACGCTATTTCGTTATTCACATTGGTCTTAATGTGCGATTTGCAGGTCAGTATAGAAATAGGATAGCTCATTTGGTGGCTAGAAAGACCATTTCATTGTACCCGACTACGTGTCGTTACTTTGATTTTCTGACGGGATGGAATTCCAAAAAGTAATGATTTTTTGTTCAAATCAATATATATATATATATATATGATTATCTCTTAAAAAGTGCCCAATAATCTTAGCTCAGTAGAAATTAGCATTTCCTTTATGAATAGAGCTTTGCCTGTTGTATGAAAAAAAGGAATCAGTTTAACTGACCAAAATCTGACAAGTAGAAAGAACAAAAAAAACTCCCTCAAGGCAGCACCTAGACCTGGCAATCGGTCGGTTGTGTAATTTCGGGTTGGGCCTCCGGATACGGGTCGGGTCATGTTGAGTTCGTTAATTTTGGTTAAATATCGATCCAACCAATTCGGTTTCGGGTCGGTCACATGTCATTTTGGGTTATGAGCGCTTACAAAAACAATATCTAACATGTTTCATATTTTCTTAAAGAGCACAAATTTTCACATATGCATTACAATACTTGAACTAACACATGTCAATTAACATATTCACAAATCTTTCCATGCTAATGAAATACAAATGGTGCAAATCATCAAAAAAAAAAAATCACAAGAGTAATACTACTACAAGAAACACATGATATTTGATTATCCTTCAACTCCAAACATGTCCTTCAAATCCTTGTGAATTTTTTAAACATCTCATCAATTTATAAATGATTTTATCACTTTGGGAGTGATATATAAACTTGAATGGGTATAACGGGTCGATCCGCTAACCCACCCAACCCGAGCCAAAAAATTATAGGTTATCGAGTTTGGGTCATTTGGGTTTCGGGTTATAAAAATTACTAATTTTCAGGCGGTTCGGGTCGGGTCAACAATTCGGGTTGTAATTTGTCAGATCTTGCATCACATATTCTTAGTGTTTCTTTAAGGACGACAATATCTATCATACTTTAAATTTGAATTCCAGTGTTAAAATCAACAACAAATATTTTAAAAGTATATAATCAAAATGGTACAATTAACAAAAACATATTGATTAATAAATCTTATTTTATCCATGCGATGAAAATATTTAAACTAGCAATATTCAAATACTTGCATAATCCCATTTTTCACGTGTTGAAAATGTTGTTTTGAAAGTGTCATTTTCCTAGTATTTAATTTCTGTCATTTTATAATGAAAAAGAAATTAATATTAACTCAGATGAAAGGGTTCTGGCCATGTGAGAGATTCCATTATTATCAATAATGGACGATAGGTTATGCTATTTGTTTCACGGGGTAATAAATTGAAAGAGCTAGCTTTCCCGAATAAACAACCTAACAAACAATTGAAACCCGTACCTATATGTGGGAATGAGTAAGGATGATTACTAATTTTTTAGTAACCATCGTGGCTACCTGCATCTCCACCCTCCATTCTCAGCATTTTTAAATTGATGGTCATAATTGATTAGGGATAATTTTGGAAAAAAATAACAACCACGCCTAATTACTACCTTTAAAATATAACTTTCTATATATTCTCCAAAATCCTAAATAATTATCTCCAAACCTAACAATTCTTCGTTTTCTTTCCTTCCTCCCTTTCCTCCCCGACGAGCATCCTCACCACCCGTTCGCCGTCACCACCATTCCGCTCCTATCTGTAATGGTATTGATTTATTGTTTAATGGTATAGATTTATATTGGTAGATCGTTTATATTGGTAGTTTTCGTGTAATGGTATAGATTTATTTTTGCAATAGTGTTGATATTTTTCAAAGTGGTAGTGGTTGTCTAATGGATTGGTAGTGATTTCGTGTTTTTTTCTTTTGTAGAAAGATTGAGAAAAATAAGGAAAGGGGATCTGGCTGGAGATTATGGAAGTGAGAGAAATAGAGAGAATTGTAATTAATAGATTCTTGTAATTACCTAAATTGTAATTTATTAAAAAATTAATTAATACAATTTATTTTTCATACCCAATTTACCCTTAGTAATCACCGTAACCTGTCCCCCATATGTGTATTTTATATTCAGTCATTAAATACTGCCACTCCATATAATCAAATTCCATCGAAAAGGAACTGACAAGTGATAACTTCCCTGCGTTCTTCCATATAATTTATTTCGGCAATACGAAATTATGGTAATAACTAGAACACTCCAGGGTATACTGTAGGATGGAAAAATGACACCCCCTATTAATTATAGTTAATTATGGTATTACATTCGTGTTGTATTTAATAATCTTTGAGAATTAAAAACTCATATTAATTACATTCCTTTTTCTGAACTACCATTGCACTTATACAACTATCATTGCACTTGTACACTGAAGTCATATTAATTACATTCCTTTTTTTAACTATCATTGCAGTGATACAACTACCATTGCACTTCTACACTGATATCATTGCAATGGTAGAATTACCATTTCACTGAAAAAATGAAAGTAATTAATATGAGTTTTTAATTCAGATAGATTATTAAATGCAACACAAATCTATTACCTTAAAAGCCTATAATTAATAGGGGTGTCATTTTTTCAAACCCTTTAGATGTAGTCATGCTATCTCATTCCGTATACGATGCTTCATGTGACATGACTGTTAGATCTCCTATTCTGAACTTCGGCCAATCTCAGCGATCCGTTAATATTTTCTATTAAATTAAACTTCGGGTTTGAGTTTAGAGAATCGGGGCATAGGATTTATCCATTAGAGGTTAGGGTATAGTATCATACCTCAAACTCGATTTAATTCAAGGTCAAGATAGAAAAATCTCACTAGGAGTACTTGGAGTATACTATACTCCAGTAATACACCAGTCTGACCAAAAAAGTATACATTCCATCCCATACACGGCTACACCCTCTCCAAAAGTATATATATACTAGTAATCAGCCCGCGCTCCGCGACGAGATATGTTACATTTCTGAATCCTCGTAGATCTTACATGGAACATTGCAAGTTTAAAAATATAGATAATGGAAATATAAATCATAAGAGAGTTCAATTTTATACCACAATCGTAATACTATTTGCCCGCAATTGAGAGCGGATTGAAATTCTTTTACTACTGAAATGATTATATTGCTGCAAGGACCAATGATTTTGGGATTTTAGATTACAATGTACCGAGAAAATAACAACATATTATCTTTTTGCTGGAATTATTTTCAAAAGACTGTCTTGTGCAGTAATGCAACACTAGCACACAAAGGAAATACCTAAACTAAATACCTATGAGTGCAAGACACTAATATTCTATTTGTGCTTGAGTTGTAATGTAGCGCCATGCACAAATGACAGTAGATAATGAATTTTCAGCATAAGAAAAATGCAGTTACATC